TGGTGCATGAGCTTTTGTTTTGTCCCAGTGTGCTGCGTGGGAGCCATGGGACTTCCCACAGAGAGGCAGGTCAAGGCCTGGCAGCTGGGGCCTGCCCCACCTTTCCAGCTGGGAGCAGGGCAGGGGCTGAGAGGCAGCCTCAGGCCCCCTGGGTATTGGGAACCTTCCTGGAGCCAGGCCCAGCTGTGTGCTTGCTGGTGGTCCCACAGGTGGGCCTGGCTCAGTGGGGCCCAGGACAGGGCTGTAGGAGCTGGAGACTTGCCCTCCTGTGGCATTGCTGGGGTGGTGGCTGATGGCGCCAGGGGGTGAAATGGCATCCTGGGCTGTGGGGGAGCACCAGGAGGGCTGTTCAAGTGAAGCAAGGCCTGTGGGTGTCCTCGGGGTCTTGACACACACTGCATCTCTAGGGGAACTTTGTCCAGTTAAAAGGAGTTTGGCAATGTTTCTGCTGGTGCGATGTAACATAGAATCATAGAATAATTTAGGCTGGAAAAGACCTCTAAGATCATCAAGTCCAACAATAAACCTAACACTGCCAGGTCCACCACTAAACCATGTCCCTAAGTACCACAACTACACATCTTCCAAATATCTCCAGGGATGGTGACTCAACCACTTCCCTGGGCAGCCTGTTCCAATGCCTGATAACCCTTTAGGTGAAGAAATTTCTTTCAGCTTCACCTTGACACAGAGAGAAATAATAGCTGTGTGTGCAACCTGCATGTATGAGGTAGGGATGAAGGTGCCTCTGATCATCTGACTGGAAGAAGGCTTGGAGAACTGGAGATTTATTTGTTTTACATGCGAAGTTACTAATATGGAGCTGGAAGTTCACATATTGTGTGTGGTCTGACTGACCTTCTGAGTTGTGGTTGTGCATGTGCATATTCTTAACTTCTAGAAGCTCTGCTGACTCCATCTTAAAATATAACAGGTGGGTGGTGAAACCACAGAAGCTCAATTTTGAGGTCAGTGCCTTGGGCTTCACAATTAATTTTGTATTTTGAAGCTTTAAAACCAAACTTAAACATAATTATTTGTATTACTTTGGCTGCTGCCAAATTCTGTAATGACTGTTGTTCAACAAGCACAATTATCTTTTGTTTTGGAATTTTAAAAACCTAGAAATCTAATACAACTGTGTCTCTGTTCTCATGCATTTATGAGTGTAGAGAAGTATGTACAAGACAGTTTGAGACGTCACCTTGGGTCTTTAAAACTCTGGCTTTGAGAATCTCCTTTGCCCACTGTTTTGGAAGCTTTCCACTCATAGGGAAAATAACACCTTTTCTCCACATTAAGCATTGAAGCCATGTATTTTAAGAAGAGGTTGTGAATGTAAATTAGTCAGACAATGGTATTTTAATAATCTGTTTGGTGAGGTTAGCATTGCATTAGTAAGGGTATTTTAGAAGTCACATTATGTGTGGGCAATGTGGTCTCAAGAGATTGGTTGTGATTATGTTAGAGGGCTTGTGGGATTTATGGATTCATTTCATGGTGGTTGTGTTTGGTTGTTTGGGTTTTTTTCCCAGACATCCTGTTCTGCTTTTGAGTTACTGTATTCGGTAACACCTCTCTGATTCCACCTCCATTCTCTTCTAAATTTTCTTACTGTGCTGTTTGAAAATTTAAAAGAATTATGGAATGTGTTGCATTAGCTGGTCGTGATGGAAATGTGCAAATCTTACTTTGTCTCCTTTGCTAGGCATGTGTGTCTTGCCAGTATATTAACATATGCACTTGAAAATGATCTTTGCTGGTGGCTGGCTAGGTAGGTCTCTCTTAGTTCCACATCCCATGCAGACAAAAAAAAGGAGACACACATTGTGTCTCAGTTTGATATATGAACTCAAAACTAGCAGTTTGTTTCTCTTCTCTTTTGTGCAGTGCTTGAATTTTAAAGAAAAATATGGAAATGGTAAGGCAGAAATTCTTTAAAAATGCTTTATCCTGCTTTCAGCGTGATGCATGGTGAAAATGTAGAACTGAAGTCCATTCAGTTGTACCTGATGTTTCTTCCTCACAGCTGCAGTAAGATTAACCTCTTCTCTGATTTGGTGCTGCCTTTGCAATTAGACCCTGCTGAGATTCAAGCTGGAACCCATTAGAAAGTCTCCATTAGTTTTTGTAATCAGCAGCAACTGATGATCTCTCAACTCATCCTTTCGATTTGTAGCAGAAAGGTACTGTTGGTTTCAGACTGTCTACACAGCAACCAGCATCCTTGAGGATACCTTCTCCAAACATCAGTGTACCGTGACTGCTGGAGATGGGGATGGTGGTGGTTTTTACCTCTTAAAGCTGCCAGGATTATCTTTTTTTCAGAACCTCAGGTTTGCTCTTCCTTCTAGTTTTCTCTTTTGTAAGCTGGCTTGAAGTTTCCAAAGGAGACAGAGCTGAAAGCGATTTGTGGTGGTGATTCTAAAGGGTCTGAAGTTTTGCGGAGGGGGGAGTTGGGGGGGGGGGAGAGAGGTTTTTGTGTGTGTGTGTTGTTTTTCGTCTCTTCTACACAATGGAGCTTTCAGAGAACCTCTCTTAAAAGGCATAGCTACAGCCTTTGTGTGAAGGGTGTGTCTGCTGGCAGGGTTTGCTGCTGCAGACAGGCTGGCTGGTGATTAACAAAGGTCATTAGACTTTGGAATCTGGCAGGGGAGTGGGGTGGTGTGTCTTCTGCGCCAAGCAGGAGTGCTCCTCAGGGACAGGGCAGGCTGGAGGCCCCTTGCCTGTCTCCCCCTCGCCCCCCCGTTTCCTGGGAGGCTCATCTGTGTGTTGCCTTTGTCTGTAGGACAGCTTGGACCAGTGTCTTGATGCTGTAATACTGTGTTTCTGGAATGAACGGTTACATTTGTCATCCACAGGACAGGGGAACCAACCCTGGGAGATTCTCGCGGGCAATCTGCTCAGGGAGAGAAGGTGCTGCTTGGCCAGTGCTGGGGGACAGAAGTGACATGATTTCAAGGGCACGTCATGCAGGAGAAGGGGAGATATGTTCTGGGAATGTTGATTTTTCAAGCATCACCCAAGGAGGACAACGAAAAAATGAGGAGAAAAGGAAAAAGCCTGGTGTGCTTGAGATGAAGCTGAGATAAGTGAGGCCATGTTGTGCACAGGCGAGAAGCTCTGAGCCTCTGAGTGCAGGAGTTGTCTGAGCTAAAATGGCTGCTCCCAAAGCTCCGAGGACTAGGGCAGCTTAGTGAGTCTTAAAGCTTCAGTGACGCAGGGGCTCATATCTCTTGAAAGTGTGATAAACACATTCAGCAGAGCTGTGGCTTGTTTGGCTGAGATGAAAGGACTAAGCTTGGGGGATGGGTAGTGAAAACTGGATGATCTGCTTTTCTGTGAAGTGCTCTAAATGCAGGAGTCGTCTGCTCCATGGAAAATTTTGTTTTCAGGTCTAATGGACTGTGCTAAAGGAGACGTGGGGTGGGGCTTCACTCACTGCTGTAATTTGATCCAGAGCAGATAGCAACCTCTTCCACACAATTTGGTCTAGTGCTTGCACATAAAAGCTTGAGTATCTCGATTATTGTAACTTTGTTAGCTGAAAAGAAGCTGGTGCAGCTTCATTTTCTCTATTGGTAGTGGGAGGGAGTGGGGGTAGAGGAAAGACGGTGCAGCCTGCAAAGTAATGTAGGTGAATACGTGGAGAGGCTCTCTGCTCAGACTCTCCAGAATTTGGCTTGCTAGAAGCTTATTTAGCAGGCTATCAGAAGAAGCATTCTTTCATTTAAAATCCTCATGCAGTGCCCTTTCTTGTTTCTGTGCCTTAATGTTTTTGAGCTTCCTCTTTGCTGTGGCAGTAGCTCCACACTTTCCATATAATAAATACATGGGATTTTCAGTGCTTTGGGCTGCCCTTGTGTCTTGGACCTCTGAAATGCAGAGTTTATCATTCTTTCTCAGAGCAGTACATGGAAGCTTAAAGAAGTAATTCTTATATTAACGCAGGAAGGTGGTTTTTGTGCCTGAGTATTGCACAGGGTAGAAGGTCTAAGGCTTTTGTCTTGCTTGTGCTTAGTGTCTCCTCCCCTACATGATGGTGCAGAAACATAGGACTTTCTGTTGCAGGATGAACTGGTCACAAGTTGAACCACCATACTTCATGTTACCGTATCTTACCATGATTTGTACTTCAAGGCATCCCAGACTTTTGAATAAATCAAGGAAATTATGATGTCTTTGAATCTTTGTAACTCCTGTTCCCGTTTCACTTTTGCAGTATCCCTATTCCTGTTGCTGTTCCTCTCTTCCTCCAGCCATCTCCATCCCACACACAATGATCACATCCCCAGAGTAGACTAAAGTAAAACTGTAAACATTTTAACAAATAATGGAAATGCCCTCACAAAGCTTGGTGGAAGTAGGGCAAATTTAAGAGTTCTACCTTCAGCTCATGTAGCTGCATCTCATCTTGCAGTTACATCTTGGTTTTCCACCAACATCAGGATCGACAGGATGTTGAGAAGAAAGGCAAGTTTCTTCTTGTAAAAGATTTTGATCAATGGTAGTGAAACAGGCAGGAATTAGCAACTTCCAGGAAAGTTAGAGTGGGTTTCATGAAGGCAGAAGCTGCTGTCTTCTGACGGTAAATTTCAGTGCCTGACTGGGAGTAATGTGCTGTCTCTATCGCAGACCACAACCCATAGGCTGTGGTCTTTGAACAACAGTCCTGTCCTGTGCAATGGAAGAGCCAAGAGGACAAAGTCCATTGAATCAATAGTCGTCAGAAAGGTGACTGTTTGTAGTGTTAAGTCAGCAACTTGTGAGCTACCTAGATAGGATTTAATGTGAATCGGAATTGGTCTTAATATAGTAAGCAAAGGTTGAGTTTTATGCCACAGTATTTGGGGAATCTCTGGAAATGACTGAGTCATTGTAAGCTTGGTATTACCTGTTGTCAGAATAAGTTAAAATGGCATTGCTCTGAAACTTCTGTCTTCTCTCCTTCCTCTGTTTTTCTTGCAGAATTTTCTCATGTAAAAGTTCATCCCTGAACCATGGAGGTGCTGCAGTGTGATGGCTGTGATTTTCGAGCTCCATCTTATGAAGACCTAAAAGCTCATATCCAGGATGTTCACACTGCTTTTCTCCAGCCAACTGATGTCTCTGAGGAAAGTCCTAGCCAGCCAAGGTCTGGTTCCATGAATGCTAGCAACCAGACTGAGGTTGAATTTTCTTCTGTAAAGGATGAATTTGCAATTGCAGATGAATTAGCAGGTAAATCTCAACTCTAAGATTGATCTCAACTCTTAAGATATCAACTCCAGTTCCCTATTTTCATGTGGCTTATTTCAGTTTGTTTAAGTTTCTACTTTTGACGTGATTTTAAAAGCTCACATCTTTATTGCTCTGTCAGCAAAGGAGGTGTCTAGCTTCAGCCATGTTGGTTCTGACCACAGCTTTTTCTGTAAATGCAGACATGGAGGTTGATTTTATTTCCCAGCTGCTTTTCATGTATTTCTTCATACTGCTTTTTGGTTTTGAGATTTTCATGGTTGTTGTTAGCTACCATGAACCACCTCAAAATTTTCAACTTGATTAGTGTACTAGCTTTATTTTTTTCCCCAATAAGATTATTTTGGAAATTATCTATCCCAAGCTGTACACCAGTCATACATAGGTAGTCACTATGCATAATTGTCATGTTTCTGACCATTGCCAGAGGTGTAGATCTCACCATAAGTAAGTGAGGGAGTCCTGGTGTGATTATTATCTATTCAGGATGTGGTTCCATTCTTATGCATACAGGGTGGGTGGAGAAAAAGCCTTTTATTTGATCTGACTTATTTACATGTACACCTTAATTCTCATTTTAGGGCAAAATGCAACAAGTCAGATGGGGACTGGAAGTTACTATAGCCAGAGCCAGACTTTCTATGGTCAGCACATGGCTCCAAATCCTAAACCAACCAACAAGTTCTTCCAGTGCAAGTTCTGTGTGCGTTACTTCCGTTCCAAAAACCTCCTCATAGAGCACACACGCAAGGTTCATGGAGCACAGGCTGGGGGGAGCTCAGTGGGGCCACCAACTGCTAGTTCCCTAAATTACAATATCATGATGTATGAAGGGTTTGGCAAAGTTTTCAGTTGCCAGTTCTGCACCTACAAGTCACCCAGGCGTGCAAGGATTATTAAGCACCAGAAAATGTATCACAAAAACAACCTGAAAGAGAGTTCAACTCCTCCTGCTGCTGCCACTGCTATGTCTGAGTCAACATCTGCTTCTGTACCAGTGCAGGAACCTTGCAAGGAGCTGCCTGCAGAGGTGGTGGAGCGGAGCATTTTGGAATCCATGGTCAAGCCCCTGACAAAGTCTAGGGGCAATTTTTGCTGTGAATGGTGCAGCTACCAGACACCTCGAAGGGAGCGCTGGTGTGACCACATGATGAAAAAGCACCGCAGCATGGTAAAAATACTGTCAAGCCTGAGGCAGCAACAAGATGGAACCAGTGCACCTGATGTGCAGAGTAAGAGTGCCCAGAATGCCTCTCCAAACTCTAATTATATCTCCATGAATACAACAGGACGTGAGATGTCGAATGCTAATGTCTCAAACTTTCGGACCTCTATGGGCAATTCCCTTATCAGGCCCAACTCTTCTACTTCTTCCAAGTTTTCTTCTGTGTCTTACCCTCCAATAAAGCCTAAGTCACCTCACAACTCAGGCATGGTTAATTTGTCTGACAGATCGCGCTATGGAATTGCTGATATGACAAATTCTTCTGCTGACCTGGAAACAAGCAGTATGCTAAATGACTCCAGCTCAGATGAAGAGCTAAATGAAATGGACAGCGAGAATGGCTTGAACTCCATGGATCACCAGACCTCAGGAATGTCTGCAGAGCAGCTGATGGGATCTGATGGCAACAAACTGTTGGAAACAAAGGGGATTCCCTTCAGAAGGTATATGAACAGGTTCCAGTGTCCTTTTTGCCCTTTCCTGACGATGCACCGCCGAAGCATTTCCCGTCACATTGAGAACATCCACCTATCTGGGAAGACAGCTGTGTATAAGTGTGACGAATGCCCTTTCACCTGCAAGAGTTCATTAAAGCTTGGTGCTCACAAGCAGTGTCACACAGGAACGACGTCAGACTGGGACACTGTGAACTCTCAGACTGAAAGCATTGCCTCTTCTTTGAATGATAGCACAGTGTCTTATGAGAGTGGAAACATAAATGGCAGGAAGTCAGCTGGGATGATGGAACCAGTGCAGCCACAGCAGCAACAGCAACAGCAGCAGTCACCCCAACCCCATTCACAGCATCCGTACAAATGCACAATGTGTAACTATTCCACAACAACTTTGAAAGGCCTCAGAGTTCATCAGCAGCACAAGCATTCATTCTGTGACAACTTGCCAAAATACGATGGGCCACCATCAAACACACCACAAGAGAGTGAGGCAGATGCTCACCCCTCTGCCAGCACAGTGAAGAAGAGTCAGACCTCTATCCTTGGGCTCTCATCTAAAAATAACTTTGTTGCGAAGGCCCCACGGAAGGTGTCAAATGACTTCCCTTTAGATCTCTCTCCCGTGAAAAAAAGAACTAGGATTGATGAAATAGCAAGCAACCTCCAGAGCAAAATCAACCAAAACAAACAGCAAGAAGATGCTGTAATTAATGTAGAGGATGATGAGGAAGAGGAGGAAGACAATGAGGTGGAAATAGAAGTGGAGTTAGACAGAGAAGAAGAGCAAACGGAACCAATGATAGACGTTTCCAGTTCTTACGCACCCCAGCAAATGTGGGGCAGAGAGTCTAATGATTCCCAGAAGGAGACAAACTTTAGAAACATGCAGCATGACTACAGTTCCACCAATGGAGCGGAGATTGAGCTCACTTTATCTGAGGATGAGGAAGACTATTATTCTTCTGTCAGCATGAAGGACCATCAGAGCCCTAATGCCTCTGTTCTGGGGAGCCAGTCAAACATGTATTGTACTGATCAGAACAATGAGAATTCAGAGTTTAATGACTCTGGCAGGCTTTACTATTGTAAACATTGTGATTTCAGCAACAAATCTGCCAGGAGTGTTAGCACCCACTACCAGCGAATGCATCCCTATATTAAATTTAGCTTTAGGTATATCCTGGATCCCAATGATCATAGCGCAGTATACCGGTGTCTTGAGTGCTACATTGACTACACAAACTTTGAAGACCTGCAGCAGCATTATGGAGAGCATCATCCTGAAGCTATGAATGTACTGAACTTTGATCATTCTGATCTAATCTACCGCTGCCGCTTCTGCTCTTATACAAGCCCGAATGTTAGAAGCCTGATGCCACATTACCAAAGAATGCATCCCACGGTGAAAATTAACAATGCAATGATATTTTCAAGCTACGTTGTTGAGCAGCAAGAAGGGCTGAACACAGAGTCTCAGACATTGAGAGAGATCTTGAATTCTGCTCCAAAAACTATGGCAACCTCCACCCCCGTGGCTCGTGGGGCTGGTATGCCAGCTGGGTTTAACAAAAGTGCCGCCAAGAGTTTTAGTCCTGAATGTGAAAATCAGAAGGAACCTTCAGTCAATACTGTGGTTGTTTATGACTGTGATGTGTGTTCATTTGCAAGCCCTAACATGCATTCGGTTCTGGTGCATTACCAGAAAAAGCACCCTGAAGAAAAAGCATCATATTTCAGAATTCAGAAGACTATGCGTGTAGTCTCTGTTGACAGGGGCTCTGCCCTGGCTCAGATGTCTTTTGAGTTGGGGACGCCCGTCTCCCCAAAACTGTCCAACTTGGCTTCTCAACCGCCACCTCCCCCACCACCACCCCCAGACCTCGCTACTGAACTCTACTATTGCAAACACTGTTCATACAGCAACCGTTCAGTTGTAGGAGTGCTTGTCCATTACCAGAAAAGGCACCCAGAGATAAAAGTCACTGCCAAATATATCAGACAGGCACCCCCCACTGCAGCAATGATGAGGGCTGGTGAGTTGCCACCTGGCATTCAGAGGCCACCAGTGTCAATGCAGCAGTTGAGTCGGGGTGGATCCGAGACCTCTGTGAATCCTCCTGAGAATGAAATGTTCTTCTGCCAACACTGTGATTATGGAAATCGGACCGTGAAAGGCGTGCTCATTCATTATCAAAAGAAGCATCGTGACTTCAAAGCTAACGCAGATGTGATTAGGCAGCATACAGCCACCATTAGGAGCCTTTGCGATCGCAGCCAGAAGAAATCGCCTGGCAGCATGCCTGCTCACACCTCCAGCACTGAACGGGACAAGTCAAAGCTGAGAGCCCTCAAATGCAGGCAGTGCAGCTACACATCGCCTTACTTCTATGCACTGAGGAAGCATATTAAGAAAGACCACCCAAATCTGAAGGCCACGGTCACATCCATTCTGAGATGGGCATTTTTGGATGGGTTGATAGAAGCTGGTTATCACTGTGAATGGTGCATTTATTCACACACAGAGCCAAGTGGTTTGCTTGTGCATTATCAAAGGAGACATCCTGAGCATTACGTTGACTATACATATATGGCAACTAAACTCTGGGCAGGTCCTGATCCTTCCCCTCCTGCCCTAGTGATGCCAACAGAGATGAAGACCTATAAATGCAGAGACTGCATTTTTGAAGCATCTTCCATTTGGGATATTACCAATCACTACCAAGCATTTCACCCTTGGGCCATGAATGGAGATGAATCCGTGTTGTTAGATATCATTAAGGAGAAAGATGCTGCTGAGAAATCTGTCCCACAGCCTGATGAAGCTGGGGCCAGGATGGATTCTGAAGACCAGATAACATCACAGATGGATCAGGATGCAGAGTGTGCAGAGGATCCCAGCCTTCCCCAGGAAAAAACTGTCCAGCTGGCTTCTGCAAACCCTGCCATCTCCTCCACTCCGTATCAGTGTACAGTTTGCCAGTCAGAGTACAACAACTTGCATGGCCTCCTGACACATTATGGCAAAAAGCATCCTGGCATGAAAGTGAAAGCTGCAGACTTTGCTCAGGATATAGACATTAACCCAGGGGCTGTATATAAGTGCAGACATTGCCCATACATTAATACACGTATTCATGGCGTTCTCACACACTACCAGAAACGACACCCATCAGTCAAGGTCACTGCTGAAGACTTTGTGCATGATGTGGAGCAGTCAAATGATATTGCTCAGAATGATGTGGAAGAGACAAGTAGGATTTTTAAGCAAGGCTATGGTGCTTATCGGTGCAAACTCTGCCCTTACACCCATGGCACACTTGAGAAGCTGAAAATTCACTATGAGAAATATCACAACCAACCTGAATTCGATGTTTTTGCCCAGTCACCACCAAAGGTGTCTGCCTCAGTGGAGCCAGACCTGATGACTGAAATAAAGGCATCCCCAGAAATTGCTGCCGAAGATGTCGGAGAAGTTTCTCTGCCAGGACCTCATTTCTCCAGTTCTCATTTAGTGTCTCACACAGTTTTCCGGTGTCAGCTCTGCAAATACTTCTGCTCCACCCGGAAGGGGATAGCTAGGCACTACCGCATCAAACATAATAATGTCCGGGCACAGCCAGAGGGCAAGAACAACCTCTTCAAATGTGCTTTGTGTTCGTACACCAACCCTATTCGCAAAGGGCTTGCAGCACACTACCAGAAAAGACATGACATTGATGCTTACTACACTCACTGCTTAGCAGCCTCCAGGACGGTAAGCGACAAACCCAATAAAGTGATCATTCCATCTCCTCCCAAGGATGACACTCCTCAGTTAAGTGAGGAGTTGAGGAGGGCTGTAGAGAAGAAGAAATGCTCGCTTTGTTCATTCCAGTCCTTCAGCAAAAAGGGGATTGTGTCCCACTACATGAAGCGTCACCCTGGTGTTTTCCCGAAGAAGCAGCATGCAAGCAAGCTGGGGGGTTACTTCACTGCCGTGTATGCTGATGAGCACGAAAAGCCAACTCCAGCTGAGGAAAGGAATGACTTTGAAAAGCCGGAGGTGGAGGCTGAGGCTCAGGAAATTGAGTGGCTTCCCTTCAGGTGCGTAAAATGTTTCAAGCTGTCCTTCAGCACAGCAGAGCTGCTGTGCATGCATTACACCGACCACCACAGCAAGGATTTGAAGAGAGACTTCGCTATACTGGTAAGCGGCACCCGCTCTCAGAACCCTGTCTACCAGTGCAAACACTGTGATATGAAATTGCATAGCACAGCAGAGCTGACCGCACACTTGAATGGTCACAACGAGGAATTCCAGAAGCGTGCCAAACGTCAGGAGAGGAGGAAGCAGCTTTTGAGCAAGCAGAAATATGCAGATGGTGCTTTTGCAGATTTTAAACAAGAGAGGGTAAGGATTTGTGTGTCTGGTCTCTTCCCCTGTTCCCTGCTCCCTGCCAGGGAAAAAGAAGTAAAAAGCACTACCTTTCTTTCTGTGCCCGAGGGGCTCCCTGTTACTAATGCCCACTTGCATGTTCTCTTTGACAGCCAAATGACCACAGGCTAATGAATGACTCAGCATGTCAGTGAGCTCCATAAGTCAATTACACATTCTGCTTTAGTTTCCTCATCCATTCTCCACCCCTCCCTAGGTTCTGTAGGAAGCCTTGCTCATTTCTACTGTTTCCTTCAGTATTTTCTTCTTTCCTTCCTCACATGCTTCTGAAAGGATTGTCTGTATCTGACAGTTACTTGTTCCTTTGTGGCAAGGCTGCTGTGTACTTTGTTGCAGATTCTTTACAAAATGTCCCATCCCCTTCTTCAGTGTACCTCTGAATAAAACACCAGTTTCCTTCTCAACCTTCTCTCTCTCTTACTGCTTTCTCTGATTAAGCACTCAGTATTAACATGACGTGAATCTACCTGGTGACTGAACCTTTGGACAAGTGCCTTACAAGCAGAAGACCAAATTGTGCTCTTTTTCTTGCCCGCTTAACCCCTTCCTTCTGCTTCAGTCTGAAATAAACTTGCTGTGGAACAGCTCTTGGGAAAGTTGTGGTGTTGTGAAAGAGCACAGTTTCAGGCCAAACTAAATGTTCTTTTATAAGATCACTGCTCTGAAGAAACGGAATGTTTCTTCTGCAGAGATGTCTTGTCCACTTATTCTGGAGGCGTTAATAGATATGAACAAAAATTAACGTTACAGTTCTGCAAAAAAAGGACGTGTACACTAAGTGTAATTTCCTCTCAGGTGTAAGATCTGGTCTGTGTTCCTGAAGATGAGATAACAAAGCATACTTCAGTGATTTATGCTTGTGTACTCAAACAGGCTTTTGGACACTTGGAAGATGTTTCAAAACTTAAAGAGAGGAAGGTGGTCGGCTACAAATGCAAATTTTGTGTGGAAGTCCATCCAACACTTCGAGCCATCTGTAATCACCTCCGCAAACATGTCCAGTATGGGAATGTCTCTTCCGTGTCAGCTGCAGTAAAGGTAAGAATTTTAAAAAGGTGACTGAAGGTGACTGCAATGTTTTGCATTGTTTAAAATAAAGGGCTTGCTGAAAACTATGGAGGGCTCTTGTGAAGTTGAATGCATTTTGAACTGGGTATTCCAATTCAATGTGATATTTTAATCTATTGCTAAGTTTCTGAAGTGCATTTGGTTTATTTTAAGATGTTTTAACCTTTTTCCACTCTTGATCCAGGGACACGAAGACTATTTAATTCTCATTTCTTCTCAGCCACAAAGGAGTTGATGTCGTTGATGACCGAAAAGCTTGGTTTTTGAGCAGGAGGCTTTCTCTCAGCCATTCTGGGCTACTTCTCTCCTTAGTTCAACCCTAAAAGAGCCGCTTACTTTCTTTTTTTCTTTTTTTTCAAAAAGAATTTTTTAAGAAGAGGAAGTGGGCACTTGCAAATGTGCGAAGTGTCTTGTGGTACACCTTTCCACATGAAATTTGCATGCTGGCTCCAACCAAAACATTCAGTGGCCAGCTGAGACAGTGGTCCCATTCAGGTGATTAGGTGTAAATGTGTTGTTCCTTTCTCCCTGTGAAAGGGGATGCCTTCGAGGACGTCTCCAAGGATAGGCCATGCTCCACAGCCCGGATTTCCAGGATATCAGCAGGCGCGGTACAAGTGCATCAAGGCTGTGGGAACTAGCTGTGTATTCATTCTTCCTCTGTATTCTTGCTGCATTGAGTTCTTGGCAAAGACTCCTGCTGCAGGTCTCACAGCCTGACTAAGGGTGCTTCTTTTGAGACATCCTCTGCTTGTTGTGAGGAAGCCGAGTCCTTCATAGCTTAACTCATGCTGCCTGAGAGAGCTTTCATTGCCCTACCACTGACCTTCCTTTACCTTACCTGGCACTACTGACAGATTCAGATGCTTCCCTCCCAACCAGCCATACTGTCTTCTCCCTGCTTCCCAAGTGAAGTTTACGTAGGGTCAATGCTTTCTTTTGAGTAAGGAGAAATTTTGCAGCAGAGAACAAAAGCTGAAATCCATGGCCAAAGGAATGTGATGGAAGCACTGTAATAGGTTATTAAAGTTGCTGCAAAAATACATGCTTTGATTAGAACAGGGAAAGGAAAGGAAAGTTAGGAATGGGAATTAAAAAAAGACTTTTTCTGGTTTTATTTTTAAAGAGCATTTTAGGGTCTTGGAGTACTGGCTTCTTGTGAATTTGGCACTGATGGACAGGTCTACTAGTCCACTAGGCTAGACTAGTGATTTAGTCTGCAGTTAGGTACACTGTAAGCTAGAGCAAAAGAAGCTAAAATCAACTTGCTCTCTACCTTACTAATGTTTATCTGATAAAGTTTAGAAGATTCATATCAAGACTATTGAAAGATAGTTGATTTGATTTCTTGTCTTTTTCCATTATCTGACCCAAATTTGATCAAGGAGTGAGATTATTTTTTTTTTTTACATATGCGTGTATGTATATAATAGATGTAATTATGTTTTTCCTTCCCAAGAGTAGGCCCTTTTTTCAGAAAGCCATTGATGTGGAGTTCGTGTAAAAAAAGATATATTTAGAAAAAGAATGCAGTGGAAAGAACTCTAGGAGTTACAATGAACACATGAGAAAGATTGAGGGGCAGAAGGGAGAGAGAATTGATGGCTTTGGGGGGGTATGTGTTTTTTAGCAGGAAGCTGAAGATTCTTCAAACACAACTTTGATGGAGGGTTGTGAGGGAGCCAAACACCCTGGCATTGTGGAATTTACAGAAGCTGAATCTGGAGCATCCTTGGAAGATGAAACCAGGCCTGGGGGCTACCACTGCAGCCAGTGTGACCGGGTTTTGATGTCTATGCAGGGTCTGCGATCTCATGAGAGGAGTCACTTGGCTCTGGCCATGTTTACCCGGGAAGACAAGTACAGCTGCCAGTACTGCTCCTTTGTCTCTGCTTTCAGGCACAAGTAAGTTGTGGCTTTTATTTTTGTTTTGAAAAGAAGCACAAACTAGCACTACTGTTTTGTAAGTTGACATTGAAGAAGAGAGCTCTCAACTTGATTTTGAGCAGCACTTTTCTCAGCATTTAGCTATTTTCCATGCTGCAAAATCTTTGGCCATTATGACTGGCTCTTCATAAAAGGTCGCATCTTTTATATCTGCTTGAATTTATTTTAAGTCCTCTCTTTTTTGAGTATAGGAGAAAAGCATGCAAGCAAAAGACTAAAGAGTTCTTTCAGTAGGCAAAGAGTGAAGCCCACCACTTATGCAGCCTTGTCAATTGCATAAGACATAACAAGCCAGGAAGAGGAAAGTCTTTTTCCTCATTAATCTTTCATGTGTAAGGAGCTTCTGCTGCCTATAACTACCTCCGTTATAATTACTACAACTCTTTGATGATTGAGTTTTCATTTGTAATGTTAAATAACTGTCATAAACATAACTCTAAATTAGAAGTTTTTTTCTTAATTATGGTGTGCAGTTTCAGAATACACATATTTCAAGTTCACACCAGTGTGGTATACTAGTGACTCCCTCAGCCTGTTTCCTTGTCTCACATAGCATGTGAAAAATACATAGTCATCATTAATAGTCGTATTTCTTATGATTTGTTTTTCTAAGGTTGACTTTGCCTTAAGCTGGGTAGTTTTTAAAAGTATTTCAATCATAATCATATATATATATATATAGCATGCTCCCCAAAAAGGCAGTTTATGGGGTATTTTTCAGTGACATCTTGGACTGACTTGCAGGTACATTTTTTCTCTAATTTCAGGGGAGAGACCTACTTACTTACCATTCTAACAAAAGAAGAGAGATCCAGGTGCTCATTTGATGTAGGCATTAATAGCACTGTTAGTAGTGCTTTAAAATTTGGTGAAGATGTCACTGTTTTGCAATCAAATGAATGTGGGAGAGAGAGCATGACAAAAAAGCATTTTTAAACTCTTTATGTTAAAAGGCAAGATTTCTGCTAGTGTCAGTGTTGCAAATTGATGCCGCAGTTCGGTCTGCCTTGTTGAAAAAAGTCCATGGGATTGAGCAGCCAACAATAAGAAAAGGAGTGAGGGAAGGATGGGTACTGCTGCGCATATCCCACCGTGCTTTGGCCAGGCTGATGTTGGGGGACACCCCTACCTCACATAGCTTACACAACTTGCTGTTTGACTAGTAACCTGGTTTGCTTCCAAAATCAGACTTGTGTTTAATTATTACTGTGTAGAATACCTTAAGATATTTATAATAGCTTGATATGTATTACAGATATTTTTGGCAGTCTGCTTTAATTGTTAAGTAAGCTCATTCCCTGTCAGCTGTTTAAGCAAGTTTTGTTCTATGAAGTATTCACTGCAAGTGTTCAATGTCTCACTCATTTTAGAGACTTTTTCCCCATTTCTCTGGAAAAGCTGTACATTTTATCTTGACACAAACTCCATCCTGGATTCCTATGAAATTGTGTTTGTATGAAGTGTCCCTGACAGGAGACATAAGTTCATTTTTAATTTTTTTGCTATCATCAGATCTTTGAATACACAGACTTCAGTGTCAGCTCTCATAAACAGGTATTTTCTGTCTCAGGCTCTTGTCAGTGTGGGTCTAAAGATCCCGTGACAATCTTGTGTAGTATGAAAGGGCTGCAACAACTGCCACTTGATCTATGTGTTGATGTTCAGTAAAACAATAATAGGAGGATTTAGGAAAAAGAAAAAGAAATAAGCCTCAAATACATACAGAATTAAGGTAGCAGGTAGGGTATATTTTTGGCAAATTGACACTCCTCTATTGTGCTGTATCTACCCTGTTGTTCCATTACCGTGCAGAAGATGACTCAAATTAAGACTAGATCACAAAGCATGAATGTGTCTAAAGAAGAAGCTATACTGGAAATGTTTACAACCTGAGGTGAAACTACCTGTGTGCCACCTGGAGACTCTGAATTCATGGCTGTCAGCCACAGTTGTAGAAGCTGCAGAGCTCTGCAGGACTCAAATAAAATGAATTTGATATTCTGTTAGAAAATGTGGAAAACATTTATTCCCTTTATTCCCTTCCAAACCATACTGAGCTGTTACAAGAAACTGTGGAGAGGGAGCAAGTTCTGATCACCCCTCAGTATTGAGGCTGTTGGTAGCTTCCAGTTAGTAGAGGCTGGTCTTTGCCACTCCTTCTTCTCTTGGTGAGTTTCATGCAGAATCTCCCACACTGTTACTTCTGAAACTCTGCTGCCTTTTAATCCTGGAACTCATCAACTGCAGCCTGCTGGCATCCGCCCCAGAGCAGGATCTCTAATCTGCTTTTGCTGCTGGAACCAAAAGAAGGCTTCCTCAGTAAAGCTGGTCGAAAATACTTCCCCCCGCCCTGGCCCCATGCCTTCATCAAGAGGACCAAAGGGTGCATATTTTCACAAAAAATGTTTGCCAGGACAAAAATTCTGTAATCATAATTATACTGTTCTTTGTTTCTTGTTTCTTCAAGTGGTCCTTTAAGTCTGGATCAAGTATAATTTTATTTATACCAATCTTGAGCTATAAGTTTATTTAAGTGTCTTGCTTTCTGCAGAACAGAATCAGTGTCAGCTCCTCTCATTTCTCTCAGATTAAATTCTACTTCATTCTATAAGCAGACCTATTGAATATTAAGAGAGAGTTTGAGAAAGTATAGTTGAGCCTGGTCTGCCTCTTACTTAATTTGTTGTTGCTGTTAAGTGTTTTGTTCTGCATCTGAAGGAACAGTTGAAATTATTTACTCTTTCGTATTTCCCTTTTCTGCCTTTCTCTTTTGAAGTCTGGATCGTCATATGCAGACCCATCATGGACACCATAAGCCGTTCCGTTGCAAACTATGCCCATTCAAGTCCTCTTATAATAGCCGTCTGAAAACCCATATACTCAAGGCACATGCTGGTAAGTTTTCTCTCTCAGTTTTGCAGTGCAGCAGCTAACGTGGCCCATGTATTCTTGTTGCTGATCAGAGATGCTGGTTTGAATCACGTCTTTTGTCACCAAATCACCAATGGGTAAGATTTTCAAAGGCAAGTCAGAATTGGCCAGCCTACACATCTGTTGGAATCAGTGGGAGTCTGAATAATGTTTTGGGAAGGACAAGAATTTAAAAGTTATGAGTATTTCAAAAACTTCTTACTTTTCTTCTATTTTCTTTTATATGATTTTTCTTATTATTTCTGCTTATTTCCAAGAGAGTTTAATCAGTCTGCTTATACCATTCATGTCATGGTAGTAAGCTTTGTTCTGCTATGTTTGTATTTATGTTTGTGCTTTAGGTGACTTTGAGGAAAGGACCGTGGGTTGCATCTTGCTTTTGGTAGAGTCTTACGCTGGCTTTCATGTTAAAACCAAATGCTGCAAACTTTGGGAGTCAGGTCTGTGTGCAGCAGACCGAGAATGGCACAATTCCATTATTGTACATGGAAATTTGTCTTGCAGATCTCTGTATTGCTGCACGCAATCCATACAAGCAAGCGGATATGATTCTGATGAAAAGGAATTGGAACGATGATGTCTCATACAGGATAGGCCATCTCAAAGGGTGATACCTTTGATTATTAAAAAGTGCTTAACTCATTCCTTGGCCCTAGACTCTTGGCACCGTCCTGCCTCATGCATTGAAAGGTTATCTGAAGATTGGAGTCAAAAAACACTAGCCCCATTGGCTGCAGTGGCATCTTTGTGGTTAAAAGATCAAAAAAATCAACCCTCAAACCACAGTCCAAACATGCACTCTGATGCAAATAACAGAATATTGACCAATCTACAAAACTTAGAACTTTCCCATTTGTTAAAAACTTGTAAGTAGAAGCTCCTGGAACAGATGACAGAAGGGTTAGAAGGATGTTTCTTCCCTTATTATTTGTTTACTCTATGTCATATACTCAGGTTGGGGTGGAGAAAGAAGATAGGAAAATGGGAAGAAAAGGCGGAAGGAATTTATAGCTGTCTGCTGATTTTGTAAAAGGAAGAAAAATGGTAGTTTTCACCATTGATCCAAAGACACATTTCATCTACAAAAATGTAGGATTGATGGTCATTTGTACTTGATTTCAGATTTCACAGAGCTTGTGCCAGAACCCTTTGGTGTACTTGGACGGGTATTGTGGATTAGCTTAACTTTTGCCAGCCTCCTGTTGTATGGGACCATGGTATTCTGTCCCTTCTAGGAAATTCAACTGTATGCAGCAGTTCCACTTTACAGAGTCCCACATCCTGGATGGAGGTGACATGGTTCTTTTATTTTTGCGAACCATAAAATAATGTGGTTTTTATGCTTTTTTGCAGTTGGGCTACTTTGTGTTATCTTGTTTGATCTTGGCAGATTTTTAGAGCCAGTGTTAGTATGCAACTAATATTTACTTCATGCACCTCTCCATGTAAGCCATTTATTTATTTATTACGAATTCATGTGCTTGGTTAGTGGACATTCCTTGAAGGACCATGTTTTGCATCGTACAAGAACACCATTTTCTGGTTGCCTAGATAGTGCTTGCACAATGACTTATGTAATAGGGTTTCCAAAGGTTTATGATCTGTTTCTGCGTCAGTCCATTTCTGCCAAAAGAATATCACAGAAAAATAGCTTGTATGTTTTTCAGTCAGAGCTTTTCTTTTTTGTGTTTTGATTCAATCCTTCAGAAATACATACTACTGGATAAACATGTTATGAAGACTTTTCCTTGGACTCCCTAGTTTTTCAATAACACAGTTGTTCTCTGAACTTCTCTTTTGTTACCATTTTTCTGTCTCTTGTCCATCATCTCATTATCAGTTTATTTAGAAGTGGAAATTTCAGTCCCCCTGAATTCTTCTGAAGTCTTTTGGAGATCATTGAAATTCAGTAAAATCCTGAATCCTGAAGTCTTTTACTCAGTCTGCCTCTCTCCCTCATTTTCTGGGGATGGGTCAAAATTCAGTAGACTATAAAATGAGTTCTTGCCTAACAGCTGGTACCAGTCAGTGTTTCTGGCATTTGTTTTTCATCTAGTATGTGCCATCTCCTTTGGCATGGAGCAGAACAGTATCTCTGAATGAGCTGTCTGTTGTTTTCATCCAAACTTTTTCACCTGTTTCGCTTGTATGTTTTTAGGGGCCATTTTCTAGTGTCCTTGCTTCGTTAGTCATGACACTGGATGCGCTGCATGCACAAATGGATGATTTTAAGACAGAGTATTGGCCCTGCTCATTTTCTATGTAATCTGGAATATAATGCTTTGTATACATACCAGGTATTGAGACCCACCACATAAATTTTTGGACTTAGTTATTTCTGTGTGTATTAACATAGTCATTTTGTGAAATGTAAAACTAGCAGTCAAAAAAAGTGCAGAAGGCTTCTCTTAAGCCAAACTGTAGCCTTTCCTCTGCAATCAAACACATCCTTTGATGCTGATGTCCATCTGAACTGTTATGGCTGAATAGCGGGTATATTTATTAGTTATGTGTAGACTGCTTAATATGTCATCATCATATCTATTTGCTTTAATGTCTTGTTGTGCTTTTAAGTTAACAGTTATTTGGTACCAGGAATGTCACCCTGGAATCTGTTACGCTGACAAACCATGAAGGTCTATATCTGTATCTCACTGATACCTTGGAGTTTCTTTTGTCTTTACATTATCTTGTTCCATTAAACAACCTGTTGTACATGCAACACAAAAAAATGTTTTCTTTCTGTTTGTAAATAGGTGATATATAACTGATATAATATGCAGGTGAGGAATGCCATTTGAAAAGACATGAGGGGCAGTTTCCTGTTTCACCATTTCAGATTTTTAAGTGATCCTCTCATATTTTGGATGTACCAAAAGAGGCTTTTTAAGAGTGTGTCCCCGTGATTAGCATAGTTTTTCTGGAAGGGACAGGCAGGAGTTATTTTTATATAGGGTGGTTGCTAATCTTTTCAGGTGTGCTTACTCTGACTTGCTGCAATATGTGTGCTTTCATATGCTCTTTTGGTTCACCCATTTCCAGTGTTGGAAACAGCTGTTTGAGAACCTTGTTTGTTAAATTTGTTGAGAGATTGAAAACATGTTTTGCCTTGTTCATTACCAGAGCTCTTGTTCTTCTGTTACTATTCATGAATATTTCACTCCTCTACTAGTTTTGGCTCTTTATGTACAATGTTACTTTCGTACGTGGAAGTGGCACTTCCAGAACAATAGCTTGGCACCTGTATAATATCACGTTGTTTGTGTTGGGACAGTTTCACTTTGTGCTCCAGTTGCCTCCATGCTTAATGCAAAACAAATCTTGTCTCAGGATTTGTTTCCCCTTGCTTGCTGTCTCTATGGCTTGGAATGTATTCAAAATTAGATTCACTGGTGTTCATTACTTCTGTTCTTTTACTTATTTTA